TTCAGTGTAAGGAAGAGGTAAGATGAGCCCTCTGGGAGCTTCTAGACTCCCCCAATGTTCTCTTTCCCTTTGCTGGCCCATGGGTGTCTTCTGTCCATACTTAATCCCTCCATCTTCAAGACTGCTTTTAGAGTTGGCTTCAATTTTAAAATAAGATTCAAATGTGTTGGGCCTCCCTGGTGGTGCAAGGGGTTAAGCACGGCACTATGACAATCTGAAACCTCTGCAGCACAAGTTCAATCCCCAGCCCGCCAAGGAGCAACCCACATGGCAAAGCAGACCTCTCCTGTCTTGCCCGCTGCCCCCCTCAGCAGTGTATTTCAGTCAGTCTGCCTGTTCTGTTCCCCACTCTGTCTCTGGTGAATCTTCTCATGGCCCCCCACCCCCCGCATCTCTGGCCTGTACCCCAGCTCTTGTATGCATAAATAAATAAATTTTAAAAAAAGATTCAAATGTGTTAAGCACCTCTACATGAGAGGTCCTTGACCAGTCACTGGTGACCGGGGATCACAGGCTTACAGGTGAGACAGACACATGAATAGCAGATGTGGGCATGTGACATGTGCTATCAACAATGAAGAGGCTCGGGGTAGAGTCAGGCAGTCTAGTGAGTTTGACAGGTGACCATGTAGGGTTAGGACTTTCTGGCAAGAGGGAACATTCTGTTTAAAGGCTTGGAAGTCTGCACAATGTTACAGTTCAAGGCTGTCCAAGCAGTTTGCTGTGCTAAAGAAGGAAGTCGGTGTGTATGGACTTGGCTTGAGCTGAGGATATGGCTGAAGAAACCCTGTCATAAAAGGCCTGAAGAAGATCAACCATATGAAATGGCAAAGATCCAATGAGACTGAGGTTGTGAAGTTTTTCAATTATAATTGCCGGAGTGGAGGTGATAATGAGTTAAAACCCTCAATAATGGAGGTTCTGGAGTCAAAGCATTAGTGGCTAGATTTTGGGCAAAGGAGCTTCCCTATTCCTAGTGTAGGCTGAGTCTCAATAAATCTGAAATATACCAGTGTTGACTAGTTGCCATATATTTTTACTGAACACTATTCAGCACTCAGAACAATGTATGCAACAGCGAAATACCTGTGCCCCAGGTCATGGAATCCTGTGATTCTTTTTGGGACAGAACTTCTCTGTGCTGTCTTTATTGCAGGACTAACTCCCCACCACAGCTGATTTGACACAAGCCTTTAGGATTTAGTAATTCATTCATTCCTAAATTCATTCATTCTTTAATCCTAGTCCTCCAGGAATCCCACGGCATAAACTCAATAGAGGTTTGATGACTGAATGAGTAGAACATACAAATAATTTGTGACCACAGATGGGGAGTATCATTTGTGAGTCTAATATGAATAATACCTTGCGAAATTCAGGGATGTGAGGGTTGACCAAGGTCAAGCAAAATAGAATTACTCTTGCTTCTTTCCTGAATGGTTTGTGACCTTAGAAAGTCCTTGGCTGAAATAAGCCTCTTTTCAGCATGTATAAGAGATTTGGATCAGCGCTTTCATAATATCCCTTCTAGTTCAAATATACTAATATTTTCAGTCTACAGGTAGGAATCTCTGAAATTTGGGATTAAAAACCACAAAAAAGTGGGAGCCCTGAGAGTGTGGAAAGATACAAAAGACCCAGAAGAGTAGCTGGACCTTGGAATTGACTTCTACCTTGCTAAGAAAGTTCTATGTTGTAAAATGTTGTCAGGAAAATCTACTGTCTACTCTGGGGTGCTATGGCAATTAATTAGTTAACATTTGTGAGGTACAAAAGGAATAAAAAGTACTGCCTGTAAAAAGTCATATAAATGCTAAGTGTTATTGTTTGCATTCTGATTCTCCCTGTTCGATTTTCGCCTCATATCAGAGTAGTCATAACAGCATCAGTTGGGGCTCCTCTGGCTAATTACGCTGCCAATAAAAGGGGAAAAGATTCCTTTTAAAATTTCCATTTTAATTTCTCTCTGTCTATGACCTCCTCCTCCTTCCCCCAGTGCGTTGTTCAGAGTTGCTAATAACTCAGGGGTCAGTAAAAGTTAGCACCTCTGTTTTCTCTCCGTACTCAACGCAGCCTGTGAGAGACAGACAGCGTGTTTCATAAGTTAGCAAGGGCCTCTTGTGCTTGCTAGGCAAAAGCTATGGAGGAAACAAGTAAATGCCCCAGGCAGATCTCTTCCTTCCAGGAGCTTCTGTGCAGGGATGGTGGAGACCTGCCTCCTCTATTGACACAGGTAACCACTATTCAGGGCAGATGTGACCAGTTTGGTGAGGGCAAGGCTGTGGCCTTCTCAAGCAGTCATAGAGTAATTATGGGATAATTGATACAGATGCAGATTTCTCTGTGATCAGGTACCTATTGCCATGATAACATCATGATAACATACCACTCTCAAATGCAGTGACTTTAAACAATGAATATTTAGGAAGCTGCAGATTGTTGGTTCAGACCTGGCTTATCTGGGTGGGTTCTCTGGCCTAAGCGGGTGTGCGCTCAAGTCTGGGAGTTAGCTGGCTATTGGCCGGTGCAGGCGATCCTGGGGATGGATGGCTGGGGGCTCCTCAGCTCTGCTCCACTGCCTGCTGGCCTCCTGTTGGCTGGCCTGAATGTATCATTCTTAGGATGCTGCAGAAGCACAAGGAGGAGAGGAGAATCCACAAGGCCGCCTTGAGATCTAGTTTAGAAGTTAGCCAAAGGAAGTCATGTGGCCATGCCCAGATTTGAGGGGGTGGTGGGGTACAGACTGCTTTAGTGGGAGGGACTGTAAAATCACATAGCAAAGGGCAGCATACAGGCAGGGGTGAGGACTCGGGGCTGCAAATGCTCTCAATCTGTCTCAACCTACCTCAGCTCTGGGCTTTCTAAATCCTTGTGGGTCAGGATGTTTGCACTTTTTAATCAGTCCCTGGGCTATTCTGATGCTTAGTGACGTCTGGAAACAACTGGACATAAGCATTGAGCAGCAGAATAGGAGAGTCCTGGCTGCCAACTGCTCTTCACCCCTGCTGCCCCTTGGCTATGGGTGAAGCTGTGTGCACTGTGACTTCTGAGGGGAGAGGTCCAGGCGATTGGGCCCCCACATAGGATCTGTGGAGCTTGGTCAGGAGTGCTGACAGGCTGGACGGGGCTTCAGGAGGAGGTGGGGGATGGCAAGAACAAAATTTTAGAGGCACTGGAGCTAAAACGTGTGGTGTGGGTGGAGGACAGTGTTCAGGAGAGAACCTGAAAAGGTGCCCCAAACCCAGAATGTGGTGTGCCTGTAGCAGCTGGGACTCAGGGGTCTAGGCAGTGAACCAACTGTGTGGTTCTCTCTTGGGGGAGGCCTGATAATGGAATCAGTGCAGAGCATGAATAAAGAGGACCAAGTACTAAAATGGGTGGAGTCCACGACTTCTCTGGTGACTTTTGTGTAGTGCAAGGTCCTCGGGTTAGTAATTCAGCATCCTTTTAAACATAGGCGTCAAAACTCTGGGTTTGTTTCCATGTGATGTCTTTTCCACTTTGCACTTTCCATTCTGCCAGCTAAGGGCTGCTGAGGACAGAAAAGCCTGAGGTCAGGAAAAGGAACGTGGGTTGCTAATTCTTGTTTCCTGTGACTTCATTGTATATGTTCACTATCCCTAACTTGGTCATGAAGCCACAGTTTCCATGGGTTTAGGGTGCAGGGGAGGGAGAAGAGATAAAGGGCACGGGAACATGCTACTTGGCTGCTGCTGGTGTGGAGTGGCTAGTGTTTTTTCTTACTCTTTTTGGGACTCTGCAGGTTCCACAGAGACTCCCTATCTGAGGGTGGGTGCAAGAGCCTTTTAAAGGAAGGTGGATGGGGCAGGAGAGGGAGCCAAGCAGAGGTGTGACTTCAGGCAAAATCCCGTAGAGTATCAGCAAATCGACCACAAGGGTGCACTCTGGAGTGTAGATTGCTCCTCTGTTCTGAATTGAAGTCAGGGAGCTGGGCCTTCATACTTCTCTGCTCCCCAGACAGCACAGTGAGGTGTGCAGGGGCAGAAACTCCCAGAAAATTGCAGCGACTACTTCTGCAGGCAAAGCAGCTCCAGGGCGGAACTCCACGGAGGGTTGTGTCTGCAGGCTGTTAGGAGTGAAGCTCATGGAAGCTGGGAGAGGGGTGGGCAGAAATGGGGAAAGGGAGACAAGGACATTGGTGATGGGCTGACAGTATCTCTTGCCCCCCCACCCCTTTCCTGAGCACCTCAATGCGGTGCTGGACCCTCAGCCAGCTCTCAGCTTTCTTCCTCGGCCCCCAGGCATCTGTCAAGCCCCCTATTTTTCTCTGCTGAGATCTCTTTGCTCCTGTCAGGTCCCTCTTGGACAGGTCTGAGAACCCCATGCCTGCTCTCTCTTTCTTGAAAACTTCCTGCTGGCCCCAGGTCACACTGACTCATGGCTTTTCTGTTCTGGCATCTCCGGGAGTAAGGGCCCCGTAGCCAGCCCTCCTCCCTCACCTTGGCTGTCGCTGCTAGCCGACCTGTTCCTTGGCTGGGCGTGGTTCAAGCAGGAGTCAGCAGCAGTCCACCGTGGCCCCAGATTGTGGAGGGCACACCCCAGGGAGTCACAGCACCTCTCTCTCCAAAGGAATCCTCCAACGCTGCCCCCAACAGTCAACACCCTGCCCTTTCATTGGAGACTCTTATAATGTTGAGTTTATTTATTTTTGCTATCTCCTAAATTCTGTGGATGTTTTACTGTCTCCTTAGGAATGTGCCTCAGGGTAACCTTCCATTTCCTATATCCCATTGCACTGATTTCCTGTGACTTTCTGAAGGAGGGATGTTTGGTTGAGTCCACAAGTGTGTGTGGAGTGCTGGTCGCCCTGGGCCCTGGGGAAGCAGGAGGAGCCAGAGTGGGGGCTCCAGTCCTGAGGGCCCCAGGTGCTGAAGCTTCACCTTCCTTGCCGTTCACCAGCTCTGACAAGCCAATTTGTCAGGAAGCTCTTTGAACACATGGCAGAGCCCCAAGTCTTTCCTATTTGTCTTTGTTTGCAGGGGAGAGGATTTGCACCCTGTGAAAACCGAAATGAGTGAATGAAAGAAGCTGGTTTGGAAATGGATTTCATTTTTCACCCCATGAGGTCAAGATATTAAAAGAAGAAAGTCTCAGTATCCTTACAGAACAGCCCCAGAGGAGTCCCAGAGATGTTTCTGCATGTCTCCATATGTTTCACTGGGAAGGAAATGGACACAATCCTCGCCCCCACCATGCTCACTCTAGTTGTGGTCTAAGGATGGAGGAGAGTGAGGCACCAGTGTGGGGTGAGGGGTGCGGTGGAAAGGAAGCTGTGGGGCCTTTGGTGGGTACACAGGCCATTGTCCTGAGAGTTTGTGTTCTCTGTGGTGGGGTGACCCTTTGCAACTTCCAGTAAGAGCCACAGGGTCTCAGCTCCTGCCTGGAGCCACCCTGGACCCTGCTTTAGGGCTTTGCATTGTGCCTTGTAATTGCAGAGAGTGGTGGTGTGGAGGCCTTTGGAGTCTGCCTGCGCTAAGTCCCATTCAGCTCTGTAGTCTTAAACATCTGCATTAGCCTCTCTGAATCTGTTTTCTTGTTTGTAAAATGGGGGCGGCCATGACTATTTTACAGGATTTAGTAAAGATTAAATGAGGTGTCATGGGAATAAAGCCCCAGAGCTGATAGAGTCCACAAATATCCATTTTCCCCTAGTCTTGCTGGTGGTATGCTCTTGGGTTTGGAGGGAAAGGTTAGAACCACCTACTTCCTCTACGGAGCAACCACAATCTATGATGTGGGCCTGGGTGGACTCAATTGTGGAAAAGGCAGCCCTTTTTGGCAGTTGCGGTAACTCCAGATGTCTGGATTCTATGGCAGGAGGGAACTCAGGGTCTATGCTGTGCAACACTCAGGTTGAGCGTGTGGGGGTAAAGGACCCCCAGAGAGCTGAAGTGACTTCCCCAGGGCCCCTCAGCTGAGGATGGTAGATCTGGGACCAGATCCTTTGCCCTCTGTCTCTGTATTGGCCCAGGGTTCACTTGTCAGGAGAGAAGAGCATGTGCTTGTGGCACAATACTTGGCATGGGGTGCAGTTTGAACCCTCTCCTTACCCCATAAGGTCTTCTCTAACATGGAGGCAGTGGTCAATTTCCAAGCCAGGTACCTCAACCTGCACATCACACAGCAAGTTCTCCTGCTCTCCTGACACCAAGTTAGGTGGCTCTGAGGGCTATCCTGGGGTTCCTGTACAAAACTTGAATGCTTATTTCTTTGTCACTTGCCCCAGACTATGAAGGTGGAGTCTGGGCCTTCTTCCTTGTGTGTTTAGAGCCGTCTGTCCACCTTGCCACCTAGCAGGCCTCAGTGACTGAGGGTGAATCACTAGGTCAATTGGGTTCATTCTGTTCTTGCTCCTTCCTGGCATTGAGGGGGTCCCAGCTTGAGCACCTCCCTTACCCAAGAAGACTCCCTAGTCTTTTGGGGGAGGCAATAGGAACTCTGATGGCTTCTGGTCTAACTTAGTAGAGCTTCATAACTTCTCTAACCTGATCCCTATTCTCTCCCCGAAACCTAGAGAATGACCCATGTTGATAAAAGTTGCACTCACCACGACAGAGTTCTCTGTCTCAAATTACAAGCCAACTCGAATTCCTCCAGGCTTTGGGTAGCATCTTCTACTGGGCTGTCTCCCATGGGCCTCTCCACACTGATCTCCACTTAGCATCCATGCTGTGAGCACCCACTCTGTGCTGTGGCTGGGTCTCTGTGCAGGGAAGGAGATGGGCTAGCAGCTAAGAGCTGGGTCAGCCTTGGCTTTCCCAGGCCTGGGGGAGGATCCATTCCCTGCACTAAGCAGAGCAGGAAGATTTAGCTGGGCCACTGCCTCTTCCCCTAGGAGGCAGCTAGCAAAGGTTGGGTGACATGAATGCACTGCAGTGATGCCATAGAAATGGACAAGGCACACAACTCCAAAATGAATTTTGTGCAAGAAAACAACACAGATACTATTAGACTTGTGGGGGGGGGGTCAGGGGACAGAGGGACTGAGGAGAGGAAGAGGAATAAGATGAAACCCTGGGGAGGGACAGAGAAGCAGAGATGTAGTTATTAAAGTCTAAATAGCATGCAAATCACTCTGTGGCTTTTTCTTAAAACCACATTTTATTTGAAACTCACAAACTTCTGGTTCTAATTGCTTTATTGGTTATATTTGTCCTTGCTGAGAAATTTTGAAAATGAGACTAAATTCTCCGGTAATGATATTTTGCAGTTGCTGTGATCATATTTTCACTCAGGGTAACGAATAGGCTCAGAGTGCGGGTGGCCGGTGGGCTGCTCAAGACCCATGGAAGTCAGGGCAGGAACCATGACTCAGGAAAACACGCTGTTGTTCATGTGAGGGCAGCGCTTGCGGCTTAGTCCAAGTCCCTTCTTCCGCCCCCACCCCCTCATTTATTCATCAAACATGGAGCATCTACTGATCATCAGCTGGGCCACACAGATGAACAAGACAGATCGAGTCCATCTCTACCCAGGAGAGACATAGTGGGGCTTCATTTATTTGTTCAATGAACACTCACAGAATGCCTGGAAACAACAGTCCCTGTGCTAGGCATTGGGAACCAGGGGTGAACAAGAGAGGTATTTCCTAGCTTTCATGTGGGTCAGGTAACAGTCTGGTGGGGAGAGATGTCAAGCAGAGTTCATAAAGTGAAAATATGACACAGTGTGAAGGCTGCTCGGTGGTCCAGTCCACATGGGTGTCTTTCCTCATTGACTCAAGTTTCATGAATAAGTACAACCGGAGTCATATAAATGTACATGTATGTATAGGAATAATTATGGATGTGTGTGTAAAAAAAGGAGAGTATGTATTTACTTTCTTCATTCCCAAGAAGGGACAGCTTCCCATGGGGGGAAAAAAGCTCAACTAAATGCCCTACACTTTTGGCAGCCATTTGTTCTTACCACCAAGAAAACCCAAGGGGTCGGTGATGGGTATAGGGAGCAGATTTAATGTGGGTTTTCGAGTTGCTGTGGTTGGAAAAACAAAGGCCAGCTGGGGCAGAGGCAATCCCAGCCATGTTGGCACTCCTGCTCCTATTGATTTAAGGGGCTTGTTACATTCCAGCCCTTGCATAGAAAGCTGAGCCCTGTGCCTGCTGGGACAGAGTTCTGACATTTTATTTCATAAGGTACATAGGAAGAGCCATTCACATAATTTGTTCTCCAATATCTATGGCACAGTGGTCCAACCTGTGCATCTGGGATACTGACACAGCTCTTCCCAAACACCCGTAGTAACAAATGGAAGGTCTCTAAGATCCCAGGATCCTGCTCATCTCCCATGACCCCTGCACACCAGTTGGAGCAGGCTTGAGACCAAAGACCTTTTTGGTTTTAACTCAGTAGTCAAGCCTCTTCTTCCTTCCCCTGTAAACAGTGCTGATCTCACAAGGTTTTATGAACATTTAATGACACATGCCTCATAAAAGATATTTTATAATCAGTAAGTCGCTGAACTTATTGCTGCTCTTGAGTATCATAGTTTCACTTCTGCCAACATAGAATGCTTAGGGGATGTGTGGCAGGTGATGTTTTCCGAACAAGGACCAATAGCATCTCCCATCTCATATATGTCTCTTCAATGTGACCATATCACTGCCCCCTCCCGAAGTGCCATCTATTTTCTTCTTGACCCTGCTTGACTCTGACTGCCATGACCATTGGAATATGGCAGGGTTAGCCCTTATCCAACCCGCAGTTTCTGCCTCCTGTCTCATAGGGCCACTGCCCTATAAGAGGTGTGAGAATCCTGAGGCTGCCTAGCAATGTGCCTTGTGGAGAGAAAGGCCAAGGAGAAGAAAGGCAGTAAGACATCAAGTGAAGAAGTCATCTTGGATGTGGATTTTGCAGCCGCAGCTTCCTGAATTCCTAACCCACTGAATTTCAAAAAAAATAATGGTGTGTTAAGACACTCAGTTTTGGAGGGAGTTGGTAACCCAGCAATAGAAAACTGAGTAGTCTTCCAGGCCTGTGTCTGTTTTCTCCAAGGTCTTGCTCCTTGTGTTGAATTGCAAAAAGCCCAGTCATTGCAGTCTGGTCTGGTGTGTAGCTCTCCTCTCAGTCACCTCTTCTCTGTGTGTTCACCTAATACTTTGAACTTCAGCTTTCTTGCCTATTACAGGGCGTTAGAAGGCTTCTCAGGTGTCTGAGGAGGGTACAATGAGCCAACCCAATTAAAAATGTCTTGCAGTGTGCCTGGCCCTTAGTACACTGTCAGGCATAAGTTGAAAAATCACAGAACTTTCTGAGGTTCTGTAGGACACCTGCCCATCAATATGTAGCCCTGGTGAGGCTGATACATCCCGGGCCCAGCTTTCAGGATGGGAGGCGGGGGTTACAAAGTGTGGAGGCTTCAAATGATGTGAGTTCAGTTCATGCCATTCAGAACCTGCTCCATGTGCCAGGTTTCTCTCTAATCTCTATATTATCTCTTTTTATATTAATCCCTTGATAGTTATCTCCATTTTACAAAATGGGGAAACAGGCTCAGAGAAGCTAATGTGACTTGTCTTAGGACCTGGACTAGCATTGGTGGATCTAGGATCAGAAATGCAGTGATTGAAAGCAGTAATTTAGGATTTTTGACTTCAGCACAAGGTAGAGAAGATAAGAGAGTATTTGAAAAGCATAAAATTTTAATCTTAAAGTGTTACAATGCTGTGACCCCTTGAATGGCATGAAAAATACCGGATTCCTTTAAAGCTGCAAACACCAGAAGTTTACTCCTTCCAAAGGATTGTTCTTGGCAAAATAGGCTTAAATGGCATCTTATTCCTTCCTTTTCCAGTTGGAGATTCTTCTGTTTTGAGCATGTGTGTTCCTCTGTTCTGTAAGTTTTTCTTGACAGAAGCAGAGAGGTTTTTGACAAACAGCTTTAATATTCTTTGTGTCTGTGTGGCTGGCTCTAATAATCCTGCAAGCTTACAAGGTCACTGTTAAGATTAAATCTGAGTCATTGGAGGCAGATGTTGACACATCATTATTTAAATCCCGAACTACTGAAGGACTCTCATCCCCATGAGCTATGATTCACTGTCCAAATGAATACCCCAAATTCCACAGCCTGCTGAGCAGGGACTCTGGACTCTGTTAGGGAAAAAAGCTTGCCTTGCTACTTGCCAGGCTCTGTGTGATGGGGCAGCCCTATTTCCGGTTGCAGTGGAAGAGAGATTACAGAAGAGCTGGGCTTCTAGCTCATCTCTCCTACTTGTAAGCTTCACCTCTTCACCTCTTCTTCACAATTCTTCCCATAACTTGTGCTTACACATGTGTTTGTTTAGTACATTATATTATATTAGTGTCCAATGTAATAAAATTTTACTTACTAATAAAAAATACCTACTTCACCTGAGCATCATCCAGGTCAAGACATGGAACACTATCACCTCCCAGGGAGTCTCTTCCTGCCTTCTCCAAATCAATAACCCCCACATTGACCACTATTCAGACTTTTGACACCATGCATTAGTTTTGTTTGTTCTGAAATTTCATGTAAGGGTAATCAGATGGCTCTTTGTATCTGGCTCTTTTGCATAGCAAAATGACTGTGATGTTTATTTGCATTGTACCATTAATTTGTTCTTTTTTTATCGATGTGCAAGTAATATTCCATTGAATGGTGATGCCACAATTTCTTAGGCATTCTCCTGTTGATGTACACCTGTGCTATGTCCAGACTTTGCTTATTATAAACATAGTTGCTTTATTTATGTATACATCTTTTTGTGGACTTAAGATTTCATTTCTCTTGACTAACTCCCTAGAAAAGGGATTGTTGAGTCAGAGGATAGGCATGTCTTCAACTTCATCAGAAACGACCTGTGTCTGACACTTAACATTTTCAGTTTTTTCAAATTTTTGCCCTTTAGAGAGTGTTTAGTGGTATCTCAATTGAGTTTTAAATTATATTTTTCTAATGAATAATGATGCTGAACACTTTTATTTGTGCTTATTGACTATTCATATATCTCTTGTTTTATGAAACTTATGTCTAAATATTTTGCCTATTTAAGAAATTTGATTTTATTGGTTGAATAAATCAATAAAAGACATTCTGGGGAACGGCCTGCAGAATGCAGTTAGGAGAAGTGCAGAGTAAGAGAATCATTGGGGCAGCAGTGAAAACAATGGTTTCGGTTATTACCTTCCAACCAGTCCATTATTGCCAGTTCAGCCGTGACTGAGTAGAAATTGGTAAGGTGTCATTGTTTCCCTTGTCTAAAACCAAGAGATACAAGTGGTAGGGATAACCCTGATAATTTTTGAGAATTTTACATGCTCATGTGCGTGCGCGCGTGTGCACACACGCGCACACACACACAGAGACTATTGTGAAAGTAAGATGAATTCAAAGTTAGAAAAATTGCATTCCTGCAGGCTGGGTCAGGTCTAGAGGTCTGCAACCCCATGGCGAGGGTTTCAGAAGAGACTCCTGATATTGGTAGGTTTTGGGGAGAATGTCTGTGCAACTGCACGGCAGGGAGAGCTCCTTCGTCCTTAATAGGAAGCAGAAGGTGTGGGAGCCCAGGAATTGGGCTGGTGCAGACCTGTTCTTCAGTTGAGATCATACAGTCTTGCTGACCTTGCTCTGTGTTAAGCCACCAAAAATGGGGGAGAAAATAAGCTGTTAGAACTGTCCAAATTTGTCTTTCATCAGGAGAATTCTTTTATCTCTCTGAGCCTCTCTGTTTCCATGTGTAAGAGGCAAATATTAATACCTATTTTGAAGAACTATTGTCAAGATTAGATATAATCATATAAAATACAAACACAAGGGTAGACAACAAAATACTTGTTAGCAATGTGGAGTTTTAATGCATGTGGCACTGTGGCTGGTTGACTGGTGGAAGTTCTATGCCCGGCACAGGGATCCACTTGCATCCCTTGACATCACCTTCCTCTAAAACCTAGAAGGGAGCTCTGATGAG